TGCGCTGCATTCACTTCAGCACGGCATTTTTTAGCGCTTTGGCGCCGGAGTAATAAAATTTCTGGATTAATGATTTCATTGAGGTGATTGTCAGCGTTGCGCATTCCTGACAAGCCTCATCAGTGTTGCAGGTGCTGGAACGTCGATACGGTGGCCGGCTACGTGCGCATACAGCTGCTACCCGTATTCAGCGAGCGTTTCGTCAGTCACGTTTATTGCAGCAGTGGAAACGTCTGGTGGTGCCCATACAGAGCGGCGCGCTACGTTTAGGCCATGACAGTGGCAGAGGATACGGCGATGCCTATGGACACAGTTCCAATTCACTGACAAATTTGGCCATATCTCAGGCATATGGCTCTCGGTGTCCGACAGCACCGACGAGGTGGGCGAAAAAATTGCGTTTGTGAAAAAAAAAAACAGCCAAAATTAACAGTGTGCTAAAATCAGTACCTGTAAAAGAACGGTGCCAAACAAATCAGAATTTTAAAATACGGGTTCGTTTTGCTTATTTAAGTAAATACAAAAACGCGTACTGCCAAGAGGTTGCCTGTGCATGTGTGTTTTCGGAGGTGAATGAACTTTGCCATCCACTAGCAGCCGGGAAAGTTTTGGAAAGCTGAAATTTGAAGTGTATGATCCCACCCCATGTGCCACCCTTTCGCTTAAAATTTGCGTTCATTTGCGCCTAATTCACTCGGACGCCTCAAAAAACAAATAAATTTCTTGGCGAGGAACATCTTCCGAAACCGAACAACATAGGAGGCTGAGCTTTTGCAAGGATGTTTTCTGTCCCTGTGCAGCCTAAAGATTTCAAATTCAGCTGTCGCGCATGCTTGCGTCACGTGGACGGTTAAGTCAGAGTTTTCACTTGCTCCGTGTCAACTCGAGAACTAGCAGGAAAATCGTTGCTATAATTTTGCCAGAATATTTATCGTACAACTGGGAGCTTGTGTACCTAAACGAGTTTTTGAATTTTACTTGCGTCGTGCGTTAGGGCACGTCAAAAATAC